GGCGACCCCACCGCCCGCGTGTGCGCCCCAGCCTGGACGCCGGCCCCGGCCTGGCCGCCAGTTCTCCGCTGCTCCTTCCATGACAGCACCCGCTCGAAGATGGCTGCGAAGGGCGCGCACAGCTCCCACCTGAAGGTGGAGGGCGAGCTGGAGCGCTGCCGCGCCGAGGGTCACTGGCACCGCGTGACCGAGCTGGTCCGCCAGCTGCAGACGCGGCTCCAGCCCAGCGGAAACAGCCGGCGAGCCGCCGCCAGCGCCGGGTCCATCGCCCAGGACACCGGTGAGTAAGGGAAGGGGCCTGGTCGCTGGCCCCGAGGAGGGCGCCAAACGCGCCACCCCTTCCAGGAAGCGCTCCCTGACTGCCCCAGGCCCCCTGGTCGCCTCGGGAGTGTCCTGGCAGCGCTAATGAGGCTAGTTAGGAAGGTCTTCCTGCCCCCAAGCGCAGACCACGACCAGGTGGGCGCTTTAGAGGAAACGAGAAAAGTAGATTTTCTGCTTTGCCTTTTCCAATCGCATTGGTAACTTCCTCTGCCTTGAAATGAGGGTACCAGCACGTATCCAGATTTGAGCTGGACTCTGCCTCTTTCTCGGGCCTCTAAACGCCATCAGGTGAAAGCAATGAAGTCTTGGCTGCTTTCTGGCTTATTTGCCCTCCTTCTTCACCCTCCTCCCCCAAGTTGAAAGCCGCGTTCACGACAGACCTGAACAGGGTTCACCTCGCACCTGGCCCGGGTAGTGGGAAAGTTGCCTCTTCTGTGGTCGAACCCGGGACCCGGGCCAGCTCTGGCAGTTGGTGACTTTAGCGGCAGGGCTGGTTTGATTGCGCTGGACCTTCGTACTGGGCTGTGATAGCACTCTAATGGGGCAGTGGGGCCCCCGTTCCAGGTTCCAAACTCCATTTCCTGGGACCTTCAGTTCAGTGTGGGATACCCCTCTTTATGCATGGCTACTCCCGACCCTTTGTGGGAAAAGCAGAAATTAAATAAATACAGATAAACCCTTCTAATGAATGTACAGTCCAGTAGGAAAGAGACAATAATAATATGAATAATCATGAGGAACACTTCTCACTCGTTCACAGGGCGCCAGACATGAACCTAAGCACATTAATCAGCCTTTTTATTGCTCACAGCTCGATGATGGGGAGACCCAAAAACGCTTCTCTGGAAACTGAGGCGCAGAAGTTAACTTGATTGCCCAGCTGATAAGGGATGGAGGAGCATTTGAACCCAAGTATTTTAACTGCTAACACTGTCAACTCTCAAAGCTATGTAGCAGATAACCCCCGCATTTGAAGGGCTCTCAAATGGATGGGAGACAGGATGAGGAGTCAGTGGATCACAGAGAGAAAGGGAACAAGTAGAAGAAGGCTTCAGGGAACCAGAAAGGATGTGCACTGGCCCTGGTGCGTGTTGGGAGAGTCTGTCTGTCCCAGGGGAGGGCTAAGCAGGAGGCTGGACATTGGTTTTGAGGCTGTGGCAAGTCTGAGCCCTGTAGTGAGGGGTAGTGGCCGGCCTAAGGCACATGATTGGGAGAAGCTGGCAAGGCCAGTGCCTCTAGGGCCGAGTGGACAAATTGTAGGTTCCTCTCCCTCCTTGTGGTGGGTGACATCTGAGATGGGACAGCTAAGGGTCACATAGGTACTGCAGCAAACAGGGTATGGGTCTCTACCCCACGCTGACCCCAAGGCAGAATGGTCTAGTCCCTAAGCTTGTTATCTGGACTCTTGCTGGCTGAGAAGTTAGTAGGTCTCCAGGAAGAGAAGGTCTGAGGAGCCAGTAAGTGTGGAAAATGGAAATAACGGAGTCGATACTTCAGGGAATTTTTTTTTTTTTGAATTTTTTTTTTTAAACTGTAAGACTTCTCAGCCTTTATTCTGCTCAGCGAGCTCTGGGGTCTAGTGGGTAAGGAGCTGTGCTGCACCAGCAGCTCAGTGGTGAATTTTGGCCAATCTCTGTGTGATTTACAACCTCTGAAAACCACTAGAGGATCAGCTGTGTCTGCTTGAGTTAGTTTTGCGTTTATCCTGCTCACCTGTGTGTGATTTACAAGCCAGGTTAAGAGTATAAATACCCCAGTTTCCAAACTTACTGGTCTGGGAAACACTGGGGTGGTTATAGCGTTAATAAAGTGTTTTCTCTCTGTGTGTTTTTGTGTCTCTCTCATTTTGAAGTCTTGGGAACAACTTTGTGAGGGCAGTTACTCTCTGCATTTTCGAGACATACACCAAGCCCAGAGAGCTCTGCTGGGGAGTCTGGGCCACCGCTTGAGCGCCACAGACCCAGCACTTGTGGAACTGCCTGGCCCAGGGAGTGAGGTTTGCTTCCTACCGACTTTTGGGTTTGACTTTGTGAGTGAATGTTCTTTCATTGTACAATCCAGATGCACCGTCCCCTACCCACATTTGGGGCCTGTTTGGGATGGCAGTGTCCATTCTCCACCGGGAGGTACCTTGGTTACTCTGGGGATTAAGAGTACTCTGTGTTGCTAAATTCCTGGTGGCCCAAGAGGGAGGTTCTCACAGCCCTATCTGACCTGTTGGGTCAGTGACCTGAAGCTTCAAAGCTTCATAATTTGTAGGGGTGAAGGAAAGTGCTGAGGTGGGAGGTGGGGGTTGATCGCCATTTCACAGACTGACTGAGGCCCTTGGGCCTGGCTGGGCCAGTGATGTTTCCTCCATGGAAAACAAATCCAGGTGGCTGGGAGATGAGGGCAGAGCCGTGGCAGGGTCCCCTCTGGTTCGGTGGGAGAAACTGATGCACACCCACAACCGCTTCCTGTTTGAGGAGGCTCTCCTAGCCCAAGGGGAAGAAGGCCAGTGTTACTGTTGGCGTGTTTTCTTTCAAACTCACATCCGGTTCAGATTTGGTCTGTAGGACAGCAGGGAAACCCCACACTGTTCCTGGCTGTGATGGAGGATGTTAGGGAAAACAGCCCAGCCAAGTGGCTGAAGAGAAAAGAATCCTTCATTGTGAAAAATTTCAGAGACGTAATTAAGGAAGAAAGCAGAATGAATCTTGGGCACCCACCAACCGGCTTCTGTCATAATGAACTCATGAATGGTAACAGTCTCAGTTTAGACTCCTGGATATGCCTGATGCAAGCCATGGTCTTTCCAATTGCTGCTTAGGCTTCTGAAAGTTGGGTAGTGAATAAGGATGACAGAAGAATTGATGCCTTTGGATTGTGGTGTTGCAGAAGAGGACTGGATATCACATGAATTGCCAAAAGACCAGACAAGTCTGTCTTGGAGGAAGTGTAACCTGCGTGCTCCTCAGAGGCAAGGATGATGAAACCTTGTTTCACGTATTGTGTGCGTGTTCTCAGGAGGGGCTGGTGTGTGGAGAAAAGCATCATTCGAGGAAAGGTGGAGGCTCAGAGAAAGAGGAAAACCCTCAACAAGATGGAGTGACTGTGACTGTAGCATTGGTCTTGGGCGTGTCAGATGGTGAGGATGGTGTGGAGGGTGGGGGGACAGGCTTCAGACCGACCACTTGGCTTCTCAGCGCTGCCATGTCTCCTAGCGGGCTGGTCTGTTCCTACACAGGGTAGCCCTCTATGGGGACCTGACAAGGGCAGCTGGTGGAGTCATGCCTTCAGCCTCTCCGCCCGACACGTTCCTCCCTATATCAGTGGAACTCTTAAACATTTCAACATACGTTTGTTTATTAAGACTGCTATTAATAAAATAGAACAACAGAACTATTGCACTTCCTCCCTGCCTTCCACCAAGAGCTAAGTATTAAAATTTGCATTTGGTTTGTTAGACTCCAGGTCCAAATAAGGCCACACATTGCATTTGTTGAGAACAAACATCTGCTCCAGTTCATCCTTAACCTCTGTCCATCTTGAGTCTGTAAACCCTACCCTGTCTTCATCTGACTGAACTGAATGTTTTTAAATTTCTTTGTAAAACTAGAGGTCTAGTTTTACAAAGATTCAGAGCGTTTCTTCAGTTTAGTTGGACAGGATGTGGGGAAGACAGGTGACTTCTTCCCAGTTCTGGCTTCCTCTTCCTCAAAGGTTCCAGCTCAACAACGTGTTGACGTTAAGGTGGAACCGACTCACAGCTGACCCGCTGGTGGGTTTTCTGTGACTGTAAATTGCATAGGAGAATATCGCCCATCTTTTTTCTCCCAAGGAGCAGCTGGTGGACTTGAACCATGTATTTTAGGCTTGGCAGTCCAGCTCCTTGCCCACTAGGCCACCAGCCCTGTGCAGTCATGTAAGGTGAGCAGGTACAGGAACCTCATGAGGAAGGGGGCCTGGCCAGAGACCTGGCTGGGCAGCCTCAGACCGAGGCATCAGGCTTCGGAGCAGGCTGTCTGGGGAGAAGCAGGTCTCTGAACGGGGTACCCGGAGCCTGAGAGACCCCTGGAGAACACTAGAGGCAGAAAGGGCCAGTGAGGAAGGTTATGGCCCAGAGGCTTTAGAAACTGAGGTGCAGTGGAGAGTCTTAGTGACTAGGAGTGCTTGGCCCCATGGGGCCCCCTCTGGGGCTCTGCTGGGCGTGGGGGTCCTGGCTGCCAGCAGCACACCCAAGTGCCCAGAATCTGGTTTGCTGTCCATCGGGAGGGTCTTCCTAATGCCCCCAGGAGAGGAGATGCTGGACCATTTTATCTAAATGTGGATAATGATTTGAATGACAAGATGATAAACTCCACATTCTGAAGAAGAACAGGCAAACCTTCGTCCCTCTGGATTTTATGTTAACAACTGTAAAAAAAAAATAATCCAGAATGCTTTTCCATTTCCTCAACTGGCCATTTGCAATGTTGTGTTAGGTGCTGATGAGTTAACTGACTTGTAAGCGACACTGTAAACGACAGATCTGAACTTTGCTCTGGTTTGCACTGTCCTCTTCCATCTCTGATGTGCACGAGCCCACTGTTAGTCAGTGTTCGTCTATCTTGTGAAGGGTCTTCCTCTCTCTTTGACTTTTCACTTGTCCCGAAGCATGATGTCTTTTCCCACGATCTGATTCTTCCTGACAACGTGCCCAGAGTGTGTGAGACCAAGCCTCCCCATCCTTGCCTCCAAGGAGCACTCATTGTGTTTCCCTAGTGTCTGCTGAATCAAAATGACTTGAGTAGAGATTTGATCAGAGAATATAGAAGTCTTGAGACCCCATGTGTTAGCAGATTAAATTGTCTGAAAACTCATAGCTATATGAAAATGAATAGAGCTTTTTATCTCTGTTCTTGTATTTGCTATTACCCTTTTTTGGGCCATTTTTAGTTTGCTGTCTGTAGTTCTTTGACACTTATTCTTTCTAGATTG